TTAATTGGATTAATTGTTAACTGAACAAAATTAAATTTGGTTGTCATTTTCGATGACATCACACATGATGTGATAATTTAAGTCTGCATTTCACCTCATGATAATAAAAAAGAGAATTACTGCGATCGATCTTTAGCAAAAGTTTTAAGCATCGGTTAAATTAGATTCTCCTCTGCAGTTCTACCGTTGTAAATTTTATAATTGATATTACATCATTTTCTCAAAAAGCTAAAGAGAGAGAACACAGCCTAGAGCTATAAGAAATGTGATCTTACTTTCTGTTTTGTATGTGTTTCGGACTTTCAGTCTGTTTATCTCTGCTCATAATCTTCTCAAGGTTATCCCATCAGTTCGGTACAAAAATTCTCAAATACAAATTCATAGGAAATCACAATATTTTAGATAACATTTATATAATTACGTACTAAATATTTAAGTATCAGAATCATTTTGATTATTTCTAATTATGCTTGAATAACAGATGTACCTAAGTATATTACATATGTGTCGGATTATGTGAAAAACTCCCATTAATTGAGATCTCTGGATCATTTTCGATTTTACTTAATTTCTTTCCTAAGGAGATTAAATCCTATTCGCATTCCCCAAACCAAATAGAGACTTACTAAGTAATCATCAGCTTTATTCCTTGTATGCCTAGCTGGTTAAATTAAAGTGGTTGACTCTCTGCCTACCACTTTAACTAATTGAAACTAATAATTTGCCCAACTTGATGGCTGACATTCGGTGCCTCCAGTTATTAATGATGTAGTTCTGAGTTCTAAGTCCCCCACAAGCGTGCGCAGTCGCCAATTGGTATGGCAAGAATCTGGACTAAGAACTATACGCGCCTGGAGGCAGACAGGCAGGCAAGGCGATCATCAAGTGCCATCATCGTTGGGTATGAATGAACGTCTATTCAGCTGGCCGGTTGAAGAAGGGCAGCGGGCGGTCTTTGGGTATTAAACATGTACGGCCAACAACTTTCCCATGTGCGCGTTTCAATTAATGTCAGCAATTCTAGCGATGGAGCGACGGCCCACTTTGTGGCCCACAATGATGCCACTGGTGCCTTTGTTTTCATCATCGTCGTCCCGTCAATTCGTAGACAACCCCCAGAAACAACAACTCTTGGCAGTTGAGTTGGTCGACATTCGTATGTGGCCTGACTTGCACTTGAAAAGGTACTAACCCCAGCAGTTTGTGGCACACCCAGATAAGCTTCACTTGATTCGTCATCGGCTCCTTGCACATTCGCTGACATGTTGTCTATCCCTCATCCACCTGGTCCCCATCCTCACTGCGGTATCTCTTAGCTGTGGTATTCTTTATTCGCACGTTTGAAGACGTTGACGTCGCCGTCGCCGTCGCTGTCGGTTAATGATTGCATCTAATTGGCTTTGTTGCTTCGTTAACTTAGCTTACATGGCACACCATAAATTAAGCGTTCCCCCAGGGGCCTCCTCTTTCAGTGTCGGCCCGGCCCGCTCGCTCCATATTTCCTTTTGCATGTCACACTGTTGCCGTTTCGCGTAATCAAGAAATTAATAATCGCATCATATGACGCGAATGGGAGCCATAGCCGTAGCCACAACTACAGTCAGAGTCACAGCCACAGCTACAACCACAGTGACTGGGTCTGGGACTGCTTCTGCTAATTGCTTCTGACGTGAGGCGTAAATGATAAGCAGCGTCGAGGTGTTTCCTTGTGGGTGAGCGACGTACGAGTTCATTGCCACCAGCGTTTAAGTTCAGATGATTCTGGCTGCAAATTCAATTTTCTCTTTTCTCTGTACAGGTCCCTTCACATTCGTTATATCAACTTCGTTTTTCTTTATTTCAGTTTCAAACCAAACCGCTTACCCACTAAATGTTTCAAAACAATAAATTCACACATTTGGACCCATAAAACTAACAACTCGCTAATTAAAATACAAACCCAAATGGAGACTCAGATTGCGCGATACAAGTCAGTTAACAGCCAAGCGATTCATTTTTTCAGTTGTTGACCAAATTCAACGCCCGCGTACCAAAAGACTGCCTTAAAAGAGAGTGCCAGAAAACCAAACGAAGCGGCAAACTCACAAATACAGGTGCCTAGTCTGATTCACTTACATACATACATGTACATATGCGTTGACTAAGACAGTTTTCTTGCCCAACTTCCGAAAACGATTATAGCTGATCAAAACACACACACACATTCACAACAGCACATTAAGCCGAAAATTCCAATTTGAAAAATGTTATACTGCGCAGATGTTGTGGGTTGGCTTTGAAAAACGCTGCTCGATTGGAAGGTTATACTTAGAATGCCCCGACCAAGAAACAACATTTCTTACTTTCATACCTATTAAGGATCTTTAAAATCGTAAAATCTATGTTCCTCTTTGTATCTACATAGATAAATAGAACTTAATTTATCTACATAGAAAATTATATGTAAATTTATAGATATATAATATAAATATATATATAGATAAAGATAAAAAGCTATTTAAATAGGTAAATACCCAGATAAAGTGCAAATGAGATTCTCTTTAGCTTGAAAATATAACGTATGTAAATATTTAGTTATGTCGGGAATAACTATATATATATTACTATATATTATATATATGTATTTCATGATTTACAGAACTTCGATTAAATTTTAAAAAAAAGTTCGTTAAACCTCATGTACATATATATTGTTTATTTATTGTTGCAGGCGATTAAAGTTCGAGATTTTAAAACGAAAGAAATACTCTAGAAAAGTGTGATTACAAGTACAAATATTCAGCTCGCTACAGAGAAGCTTGATAGTCGTTAATCAGAAAACAAGAACAATAAATAGTACTCAAAAAAATGTGGACGCCCACATTTTTCAATAGTCGTCTCATTCATCTCAATAAAATTGTCTGTTAAATAGAAGCTCAGAAATTATAAAAAATGCAAATTTTACAAGTAAATGGCAACACTTTTTGCTGTAAATTGTAAAATCCCACATGGAGAGCACTTAACGACAATTAAGCAATCATATATTAAACGTTTTACGACTTAATAATATCTGCTATGCATACCATAAATATTAAAGATCAATGGGCGTAAAAGAATGTCGTTCAAACGACGCCCCAAAGCACAAACACACTCCCTCATTAAATATCCAAAAACAGCAAAGTCCATCAACAAACAGCAACCAATGCTAATGCCCCCCACTCACATGACATATGAGTCGATTTAGCTTTGGTATGAACTCGTTTTATGCTTTTATGTGGTTCGATTTCATGAATGGAAGTTGACGACTAGCGTTTTGTCGCCTCTATTTTACTACAATTTACTACGCCGCGAGCAAAACAGAGTTAAAACATTTTTAATGCATGTGTAAAATGGTCAACATTTTGGGGCGCCTTCTACAATATATGTGTTTATATTCAAAGTGGCATTTGAGTGCAGTAAGAAACCATTACAAGTGGAACAGATCTCTCATTACAAGTGGAGGAGGTCAAGTAGGGAAATGGAAATGATTTTGCTTAAGTGGAAACCAATTTTAATTACGTGCTCTCATCAGCAAATTACAAGCTATGATGCCATACTCAAATATCACTGAAATGTTGAATTTAATTCTCGGAAAACTTAAAGACTTTTTTATAACTTTTCTAATCCATCATGGCAAGCGCTCATTTGGTTCAATTAATAACCCCATTACAGACATTGGTTACTCAATCTTGTATGGGAATACCTACAATATATTATTTCAGCCTACTAATAACTAACAAACGTATTTTAAGACCCATTGGTCCTTGAAATTATCCCAAAAGCGTGCGAAAAAAGCATGTGTCTATCATCTTTTCTCGTATATGGAATTTAATATAATTTAAAAGTTGAGGCGTGCATGGAATTGAATGCATAAGGTTCAAAATCAGTAATACCCCTATTCTATTCTATTATATTTATTTAAGCTATAAAAGCTGTGAAGAACAACATATATGTGGAAGGGAGCAAAGCAAAAGTGGGAAAGACAAAATAAATATGATGATATCTAGTGTAATATCGAAAGTGAAATCATTAGCCACACCACCAGACACTAATAACGAAGACCCACAAGACGAGAAGAAGACGATGGCGAAGAAGCAGCAGCAGTAGAAGAGACAGAAACAGAGGTGAGAAATGGTTTTTGTTTACAAATACCCATTTGTTTTGAGTGCTTTTCATGATTTTCATGCTTACAATCAATTGGCGGCACGTGGATGTGGCTGTAAAACCAACAAAAACACGATGGCCAAACAACGAAACAAGTCAATCAATTAAGCCCACTCTTAAATATAACGCATACGCCCTATTGAACTGCATTTTTAAATAGTGTTTGGAGGCTGATTGGAACTAAAAGCCAAAGGCAGACCCTTTGTTTTAACCAGCAGTCGAAACTCTGAAGCATTTCAAATGCCACGAACTAGCCCTAAAAATGCATATCAATAATTAAGTGGAGTGGCTAATTGGAAAATACAACTTGGACGGTTTGTGCGGAAGACTTTTGTATTGGCAATTATATTGTCCGACTAACAAAATGGTTTTGATGATTTTCCAATAGAGTAGGGATGTTTGTAATTGAAATTCATCTGTTGAAGTAGGGTAGTTTTTGTTTTGTTTGATTGAATTGGAATGTGAAATGTCATCATTTAATTATAAACGTCAGTTACAAGGCATTCCACACAGTTAGGGCTTTGTTTTTTGCTCAATAACTTGTCATTGTATATTAATTTCAATCATTTAAACGAGAATCAACCATTGTTTTTTCCCAGGATACCATCTGATCGAAATATTTACTCCTTCACGATATCTACAAATTTCAACTATTACTTTCGCCAGCTCCCCTTCGCGCACTTTCCCATATCGCAATAGTAGAAAGTTAGTATTATGAGCATCAGTCGAAACAGTTGTGTTGTACCATCATCGAATGTTTAACATCACCTGCTACTTAAAAGCTATCACCTAAAAAATGCATCTATTTTAAAACTTACCCTTGCTGCCCTTTAAAATGCTGCTTGGATGGCCAGTGGGCCGAGCAGGCGCGCCATTGCTGTTGGCATTGTTTATATGGTTGTGGTTTATGTGCAATGGAAGGCCATTGATGCCGATACCGATGTTGCTGCTGGCGCTGTTGTTGTTGTTGGTGTTGCCAATGAAATGATTGTGAGCAGACATTTGACTATTAACAGAGGATGTGCCACCCAAAGACGCAACATCTTCGCGCGAAGCATGCTCGGCCATAGACTTTTTAGTTGCTGGTGGTGGTGGTGGAGGACCCAGACGGATGCTGCTCGTATTGCCGGCAACATCGCAACCGTTATCGTTGACATTGTTATTACAATTCAGATTCTTGCTGCTGCTATGATTACTTCCGTTGGCAAGGTTAGAATTTAGATTCGAATTTCCGTTAAATGTTGCAAAACTGGTTGCCGTTGCTGAAGTAATTGGCACATCTGCGGCTGCCGTTGGATTTTCTGTTGCTGTTGCCACTGCCGTTGCCGCTGTTGGTGCTGATGAGACAGCAACAGCAGCAGCACCAGCATTCACAGGATGTTGGTGGGCAGCGTTTAGCATGGTCTGTGGCGCCGCCAACTGTTGCTGTTGCTGGTGGTGCTGATAATAATGATGGTTGAACTGTTGTTGCTGCTGTTGCAGCAATAAGTAATCACTGGTCACTGCTGTCGTCGCTGTTGCTGGTGGCGTTGGCGTTAGATTCGCTGTCTCAGCCGAACCAATGTCTAGACCAACCACGGCCTTAGCGATTGCACCGCTTCTGGCAGCAGCTGCTACTATTCCACCGCTTGTTGCTGTCGTTGTTGCTGTTATTATTGGCATTGCCGTAGCGTTTCAGACACGATTTCGTGTTGCTCGCCTCCCCGTCTTTGTCTTCCACTTTTATTATAAATTAAATTGTGTGTTTCATCATTTTAACTTGGGCTACAATTACTGACCAAGGCTTGCCATTGCAATTGTTTATTTCTCGCTGCCTAATTCATTAGCATTTTTTGCGTTTGTTTCGTCTCAACTCGTTTAGCTTCAAGATCAAAGAATATTTCGTTTTTATTATTTTTTTGTCGCGTTATTTAATACTTGTACGGGAATGTTTTGTCTAGCTTTTTGTTCAACTTTTTGTCGGCACTATCTGCTCTTCCTTTTTTGCAAATTCATCATTTCTGTCATTCAGTTGTGTTTAATAATCACACTTCACATCATCACATCTTTCGTTGTGCATTTGCGGACTACTATGTATCGCTTTATAACTGCTGGAGTCTGCAAAAGGGTAGAAAAATGCATGCATTAGCTATTGGAAATAACTTATATATTTAAGTAGGAACTAAAGAGAGTGGAACAGCTTCAAAATTAATAGTTAAGATATCAATTTAAATAGAAACATTAGATATACTTTTGGATCCATTGTTTTAGATCAAGACGAAAGATTTTCTCTTACCAAGCATACCAAATGGTGCCACTTATTATTTATTTGGAGCATAAGCAGGAAAACAGCTTTTTGTTTAACGCGCGTTTTTTTTAAATACCTATATATTGACATTTGATATTTATTGTTTGTTAACTCTTCAAGACAATCGGCCCACATGTGTATATCAAATTTAAGAACACGAGATATTTAACAAAGCAACAGGGAATAACTTTTCTAATGGCTGTGCATGCGACCGGTAATTTTTCTTGAGGCATTTGAAGAAGAAAAGCAAATTGTACAAATTGTTGCATTGCGGTTAATAAGAAAAAAAATGTGAAAATTGTGCGCTCGAAGCATTGCCACGGAATGTGCAACAATTTTTGCCTCGTATTAAGAAAGTTTCAAGCCTGACAGCTTGACAAATGTAACGAATGTCATTTCAACTGACCAGTCAGTCAGTCAGTCAGTTACGCCAGTCATGAATGAAGAGTTAAATTGCTTTTCCCCCGTAGGATTGTTAGAAGTCATTGCAACATATTGGTATTTAAATATCTGCATGTATGTATGTATTTGTAGTCATATTATAAAAAATAAGAGAGGGCCAGACGTAAGTCTAAATGTAAATCTTAATCCAAAATCGAGGTCGCAAGCGTATGAGCTTTTAGAAAAAAGAAACATTTAATTTAGCATACATGTTTAGTCGCTGTTAATGGGTCAATTATTCACAAAGTATTGATTCATTTAATTAAAAGTTTATCAAACAAAATTTATCCTATAGCTATTTTAAGAAACGTAATCCTTATTTATATTCTCAATTCAAGGTGTATTACACGTTTACAATCTCACTTTTGTATGTGAATGACCCTCAAACCAACAACCATGAATAAATCACTTAGGCCTATTCATCATGGGTTATTCGGACCCCCTGCCTCCCGCATGACTACCTTTTTTTGATTTCATAGAAATCCGGAAAAAAGCGTGCTTTTCCACGAAATATCAAAGCGTTGACTCATTCCGTGGATCAACATGAAATTATGAATAATACTGAAAGGCAGCAACAATATATGCAAACCAACAACATTGAATTCCTGATGCGAAAAATTTACTCCAATAAAAACGTGAAGGAAAAAAATGAAATGAAGAAAAAAAACGTTGTAAGGCAAACAACCCGCTATAGGGAACTGCGGCAACAATCAGCAGCAAAGAATGCCAACAACAAAAGAAGCAACACCAACAACAAACACGGCAATAAGAACAGTGAAGGCGAAAAACGAGTTTTCAGACCATGCCACCAGATCGACCAGTCAGACATGATGCCACAGACAAACAAAAAACTAAAGGTAACCCCCACACACACGCATAGAGTTAGTGTGTGTGTATACTATAAAACGTGTAGAAATACTATACATGCATGTGTGTGTGTTTATTTGTTGTGGAACGTGCAGCAACTGCAACAGAGCGTCGCTGAGAAAACGAGTCACCAAACACGGTGCGGCCTGCGGTCAAGAGGCGGCACACTCGCACGCCTGCCACCAAGTAGCCAACTGGCCAGCCAGCCAGCCAACTAACCACCTGTCGCACTTTCGTGCCACCAAGCGGCCCAAGTGGCTGGCAAAAGCGAAAAGTGCACGTTCCGAAAGCCACAAAAAGGTAATGGCGAAAAAAGCGCGCGCACTTAAACTGACGACTTCGACTTTCAACTGCAACGAGGAGCGCGGCCAACGGCAACAAGTTGCAGTTAAGTACCACCCAACAACAACAACAACAACAGCAGCAGCAGCCGCAAAAAAATAATAATTTCACTTCATGGGTGAAATTTATCATCAGCGTTTATTGTGGTGTGCCTTAGTTGCTATTTTTTCATTTTTATTTTTTCAAAAGGTTTTTATGCTGCCTTTGTTGTAGCTGCAATTGTTGTTGCTGCTGTTGTTATTGCTGCTGTTGCTGGAGCAACCACTTGATGGCACGTTGACAAAGCTGGCGCTTAACTGCGGTTTATTTATATGGGAACATCATGTTAGTTGGTTGTTCGCATTATTAATGTCTGGCTTAAAAGCTGAACTATGCAAAAAATTACCGCAAAAGAAAATGATTCCCATGAGGGTTTCTTCACAATGAGACATTGCTTTCCAAATCTGCTATTCGCTCAATACACAAAAGTATTTAAATTCTATAATACATTTATCTATTTACTTGAATAGAAAAGACATGCTTTATTTGTATCGCTATTCCCCAATATAGTTCATATTGAACTCTTAAACAAAGAACAATACAACTTGGCAACAGGTATGCATATTTTGATACAAACAATCAATACATATTCCAATACCATCAATCATTAAAGTAATTATCTGCTTTCTATAAAATTCACATGTGCAGACAGACGAATATTTATTTTCAATTAAAGCAATTTTCAGTAGATATATGTATGTATAGTATAAGCCAAACCACTTTCAATATTCACACCTTTTTTTATTATTGTCGTTATTGTTGTTGTTGCTGAAAAACAATGAGCTTTTGTGGAAAATGCCGACTTTTGCTGTAGTTATTTAGCTCGAAGGAGTTGGAGAGATCGATCATAACAATTTGATCACTTTCATTTTTCGAAAGATGCATGTGTGGAAGACAAACGCGTTTTTTAAATTGTGCACAACACCACAGCACTTGTTAACTTTTGTATTATGGCGATGTTTGAACTTGTTGTTGGTCTACAAGTAAGTTGCCGCTTTTGGCGCACGATGAACGAATGTCGCGAAAACACGTTGGGACAGTGACCGAAAGACGTCTTTAGGTAAAACTTTACACCTGCTGTGCAGCCACGCACAAACTGACGAAACATACATTTAATTTTTTAATTGTTAAATAATGAGAATTTTGTACAAAGTAATACAATGGCGTTATTTGTTTTTATGATGGAAAAAATAATTGTTGGGATAAAACACGCGCGCCTCGACCAAAAACCAACGAAGTCAGAGTAACGACTAAATGAAGAGCAGACCTAACGTAACAGCTATCGATAGTTAGCCTATTTGCCCCTGAAGCTAAAATAGATGGCGCTAGTATTACCGTTTTGTAGCCATCAGCTTTCCGACATGTTTTGCTACAAACATATGTACATACATACAACGTAATGACGCTCTAATTTAGGGAATATAAACAACTCCAAGACAATGTTTATCCCACATTTATAGATACATTAGCACTTCTGGAAAATTTTGAAATAAATTTTAAACTGCAACCCGATTATAGAAATATAAAATCTGTATAAAAGTACACGCCAACCTGTTGCACGTTTAATACACCCATCCGTAGAGTACGCACGAACAAACTTAATGAAAGACACTAACAACATTCACTACCACTACTATAAGTAATTCTAAAATTCCCGGGTTTTGCTAAAACAGGAGAATGTAATTTTTAAACATATATACTTATGTAGCCATAGTCGTTTTCAATTCATAATTCAAAACATTTTGTATCCATCCAAGCAGGTGTCCTTTAACGCGTGGCGTCCACAGCCAGTTTACACTTACGCATTTGCCAAAAAGACAACTTTTCATATTTTTATAAAATACTTGTAAAGGCACTTAATATTTGATTTCTTAAACATAGCAATTTATTATTAAAATTATCAGGCCGGTGTATAGTCTTGTCGATTTGTATTTTTTTGTTTGCTTGTAGTACCCGATAACGAAGTAGTCGATTAGTTACTCGATTGTACTACCTTTCAGGTGTTTGAATTTGACATTCACAATGAAATAGGGACTATTTTTGATATTTACAACTATGCTGTGTGTTCGACACCTACAGCTGTTGACACGGCACGATGGTGCGGTTGAGGATTTCATCATTTTTGTCCATTTTTTTTAAGGTGATCTGTACTTTAAAAAAAACCACAGTTAAGTTCAAATTTCTAACTCAAATATTTTTTGTGAGCGAAATAAAATGAAAGTAAGAAACATTATTTTAATGTTAATAATACTTATTTGTTGCAGAAATGCAACAATTCAAATAGTTTTAGATCTCAATAATCTGCATTGCGTATTCCGTCCAGAGCACCATATCAATACGTATTTTAATTATTAAATCATAATACCTATTATTCTAATATAATAATTACTTTTTTTCATTGTCAAAAATTTATTGCAAAAGATTATTTGATGTCAGCTGTAACTTTTTGAGGCGTTCGAAATGGTTTAGTTCGTAGTTCGTAGTTAACGCGAGCATTGTGTATCAAAAATATTTTAAAAGACAGTTATGGATCAGTGCTACCAATTGAAAAACTTTTTAAATAATAAAATAGGTAAAACTACTTCTACATTTTCGTGATTGGCAGCACTGCAATTTCTAGCTGGAAATTTCTTGCAAACGTCAAAAATCGATGAATCTGATTCTCTTACATCCCTAGGCCACGTCACCTTTTCCGCTCGACCATTCCAAAAACACCACGTCAGTGAAAGATTAGTGTTTGTGAAAACTGCGCAGAATTACAAGGCACACGAAAAAGTTGCGTGAGATCAAGTTGGGAAAATACCTAGCAAGTAGGTGCGATGAAGAAAACGAAAAGCACAAGGCGACTGAGAAACGCAAGAGCAGAAGCAAAAGTCGAGGCTTCACCACAAATGGATTAAAATAAACAACATCAGATATAATTCAGAGTGCGCTTGGATAACACTGAAACTGAAAGTCAACACAAAGCACCCTAAAATGCAATTTTAATTTTTGATAAAATTTTAAAGTTGCACCCAAACAACAATAAGCAAAATAATATAGCAAGGAAAGCTAAACTAATTACAACCCAATGGCGCCACCTAGTAACGGAGTGGTCATTCCTATGCCCAAGTGCGTAGCAATTTCATCAAACAGCTTGCCCAAGCTGCGCCCCGCACCCATCTCTACAGCTGTGCTCAAGAGTCTGGGTGCTGCGTCACCCGCCTCCACTTCAGGCTACGCATCATCGTCCAACAGCGTTGTTGAGGAGGAGCAAATGGCAGGAAATTCCTCAGCCCCAAAGGCGAAGAAGCGCCGCTTGGATCATCTGACATGGGAGGAGAAAGTTCAGAGAAAGTAAGTAGAATAAAAAAAAGTGTACCATATGGAATCGTTACTAACCAGCTTCTTCTTTACAGGAAGCTTAAGAATCGTGTGGCCGCGCAAACATCACGAGATCGCAAAAAGGCACGCATGGAGGAAATGGAATTTGAAATCAAGGAGTTAACCGAGAAAACTGAAATCCTACAAAACAAATGTGAAAGTCTACAGACCATCAATGACGCACTGCTAGCTAAAAATCAAAAGCTAGATACAGAAGTGGAATTATTGCGTCAGGAACTTTCCGAAATGAAACAGGCCACAAACCAATGCAACAGCAGCAGCAGCAGCATCGCCAGTGCAAACGCTGATGGCTGTGCGTCCATAAACACTGGATCCGCAGTATCCAATACTGACCCTCTGCAGCAGGGTATAAACATGGACACACAGTCGTCAGCGAGTGCATTGACGACATCGCAGTTGCAGGAGCAGCTGAAAAAGAGCAGCACAACAGCCTCGCTCTGGAAGATTGTGGCCCTCTGCCTACTTTACAAGACATGCTGCTCGTCGACGACGAAGAGTTCGATGCGCGGCGGCTTGAAGAGCTGGCAGAGAGTCTGCTCGCAGATATCACAGCAGAATTGGAGACAGGCACTGGAAACAGCTGCAAAACTTCTGCCAAAGATGCAAGCGACGCAGAGCGATTGCCTGGATCAGTGGTGGGGCCCGCAGCAGAGTGCGTGGAATCCAGCAGGCATAGAACTGATGGCATAACCACTGCAAGCTCAGCCCCCAATCCGGATAATGAGCATGTCGTTAATGATATAACCCCCCCTCTATTACAAACAAACGGCAGCAACCTAGAATTGCAGGTGTTGCACATAAATGGAAACTTACAAGAAGATACAGTTGTGGCAACAACGACATCAACAGTTCCAGCAGCTATGCAGCCTACACCGGATACCGTGTACGGCACCTACGATGCCAAAACAAATTCGATAACCATTGTCATGGATGGCGATGCGGTGCCGGTTAATGAAGCCGTCGAAGAGATATACTGTGAGGGCGTTGCCGCCACAGACGATACTACCGATGTCATCATGAAGTGTCCAACGCCGGCGACATCTCCCTCACAGGTTTATCTCAATGTCGTCAATGCGACCGACGATTCGGATGACGATATGAACTTTGATCCAATTGAGAAGTTTCTCCGCCCGCGTATTAAAGCCATCTCACCATTGGCCAAATCACCAGCGTTATCGCATTCAGCAATCTCGGATCATGGGTACGAGTCAATAATGGGCTCACCGACATCTACAACTATATCACAATTTGATATTGAAAGCACAATGCCCACAGATGACGAGGATTTCCCCTGGCACAGTAATTTTGATGAGCTATTCCCTAATTTGAATTCGTTGTGAACTCAATACAATTTGAAGTTTTCAAATTGATGATTTAATTTTTCAAATTGAAAATTATTATTTGGATCCAATAGTTTCTCCCTTACAACCAATTTAAGTTCGGCCGGCCGCTCCCCTTATTTTAAGCACTCTTAGTTATAGAAGCTGTAACTGTTGCTAATTGTACAGAATTTGTCGTTAATGGCTTTACATATATATTCATAAGTATATGATTGATATTGTACTTGAGAAGTACGCCCCTAGCTAAGTTGTAAGTTTCCATTTGTATTTAACACTCGTTAAACACTTAGGTTAATGCTAATTGTAAAAATATAGACGGACATACATATTTCGATGTGCTCAAAAAAAAAAAATTATCCAATATATGATCACTTTAACATTGCATAACTATACACAACAAAAATATATTATATGCGCTACACAAAAGCAGCTAAACAATGTGTTTTCTTTGGAATTCTATACGCACTTAAGCATTCTGTTTATCGTCCGACCAAAAACCAAAGGTAATCAGACTTCTGGGAATTCTTCTCGTTTTTGTTGGAAATAATTAGTTATCACAAACTGGCGATGATCACGCCACTATAACTAAGTAGCGTCTGTACGGACGACAAACTTGTTCTAGTGCGACTCCAGATAACAATATGTGTGCTACTTACATATTTACGGTTTGTACGTTTTCACAATTGAGTTATTGTTTCAGATATAGTATACATACGGGTAGTAAGTAGAATTACTGAATATTATTTTTGAAAAAAGAAAACGCTTTAACATCAAGTCAAGGTCTTACATTATTATCATCACATTACATCATATGCTGACATAGAGGAAAAATACAGGGTACAAATATATATGTATCTATGTATTTGTATGCATTTATTAATATATGTACATACATACATATAATGTATATATTGACTTTGTGATTCATGCCGGTTGAAAAGGCATGAGTAATTTTTATAATCTGATATGAAATATATAAATAATATCAACTTATATATAAGAACTGAAATGCACATATCAAATTTGGATTTGGTAATTTGTCGGAGAAAATTCTTTATATAATGCGGAAATAAATTTAGAAATTCTATCTAAACGAAAAAGTATTTCCGATGATAGTCCTTCAATTTGTTCAAGTTTAGGTAAATATTTGAAATGTTGTTGTTGGTTATAACTTTGGAAACAAATAAGTTATGACTTTTCTTCTGATATCTGCAGTGCATAGGTGTGTATAGCTATGCCAGTATGCTGCCTTGGGGAAGTCCAACGGTCGTACCCGTTTCAAAAAGTAATTGTAGAATTGTTAATAATATATACATATGAATGTATATATATTTTTTGCAATGTTGATGTTTATCAATAACTTTCGATAATTTTTGGAGCGCCAATATTTCTTTATTGTATACCATAAAATAGGTTGTCGTGATATTTATAAATACCGAGTAAATAAGATTGAAACAAACAGCGTGTCAAGACCTGCAAGATTAGACCATTGTATCACATAAAACAAAATATAAAACATCTATTATGTAGGTTTTTTTTTTTGCAAATAAAGCAACTATTGGAGCAGAATAGATTTATAAGAATAATATTAATATTTAATTTATTTAAAGTGGGATCTTTCTAGCTTTTCTAATTACTGATATACATGTGTACATTTTAAGCTCTTTTGTAGTCGTTTATATGTATATCTAAATACATACATATATCTAAATAGGACTCAAACCGATGACAATACAAATGTTCCTCATACACAAGCGGAATATTGCTCATCGCCCGTTAGTGATGCGCCTTGCGGCTCCACACCCCACTATATGTGTATGTACATATGTATGTATGTACTGTTTATACATACATATTATAATCGTTTAATATTTGTGTTATTGATTTAACCATATTCTAGTTATTTTCTCCCATAATTCTGAAGAAGAATTTAAAAATTTTCTTTGACTTTAGAAACTAAAGTTTTTATTTATAAAAGATCATTATTATAGCTATTTACAGACTTGTATATAATTATAATTATCATAATTGAGTTAAGAGTAAATGCTTTACGGGAAATATCTAATTCTATATAATTTAAAAGCGTTTAGCTAAGCAATATAATTTCTAGGCGATTACAAATACAAGTATACTGATTGTTAAATATAAATGTATTCCCATTGCAACTACAGTTATAAAATGTAGTAAATGGGTTTTTATTAAATTATGTTGTAAGTAAATTAAGTTGTAAAATAAATTTTGTACTATTTATAATCGACAAATAAAAAATTGAATAGGGGGGCAGGGAAACACACTGAATAAAAATTGAAATAATTGATTTATATATACAGATCAAATCGAACTGAGTGCAAATTTCGGTGGGGATGAACATAAAAATAAAACTTAAAATTGCACGCTGCATTAGATGGCCAATTAGTAGATCTTGGGCAGGACATAGAAGCGGACTTGTGCGCAGTAGCGATGCCATGAGGAGTGGTAGCGCGCCTGGTTCCGAGCATTGGCGCGTGTGGCCCGATGAAGAATCACCAAAACGAGCAGCAGAAGCAACAAGAGAGGCGGCCAAGCGAATCGTAAAAAGAGCGGCACACTGAGGGCGCCCAAAGCAATAATGTCGCCCAGATAGTTGGGCTGACGGAGGCGACCCCACAACCCGCTCAGAAGCAGACGACTGCCCTGATAGGTATGGATAGTATCGATGTTCGAGAAGATTGGATTATGCGCGTTCAGGCGGTACTGATACTTGTAAGCGCAGCTGTAACGCTTGATACCCAAGCCGAGAAGCAGCAATGCGAAGGCGCCGTAGGGCGCGAAACAGCAGGAGATGGGCACACGCTGCTCGTACATGTATTTGGTGATTGCAGTTAGTATATAGGGCGTGACGGCATAGCGCAGCAGCAACAGACAGCCATAGCCCTCGTGCTGTAGCTCGAAGGAAGAGGACAAATGATGTTCAAAGACAATGGCATCAAGCAGGTAGAGCACCAGCAAGCTGGCTGCCATTATTGTGCCAGCATCGTAGCCTATGTTGCGCAGATAATAGCGAAGAATATACTGAAGGCCCTCCTCGCTAGCCACTGGGGAAGCGGGCCATTGGATCGTCTGGTAGATATAGCCGGCGGCATAGAGTAGCGCGCTGATCAGCGATAGACGATAGTAGTATTGTTTAAGGTCCACACGTCCAAGCCACTTGGGATTCAATTGACGTCCCAATGCAAAATCAACGAGAAAGTTGCCCGAGCGTCCGTAGTCGTTATTCAGCGGCTGACGCAGCACATTATACAGAGTCGTATCCACACGCCAGTAGCTCCAAGCGGCTGCCACAAATGCGCTGACGCAGCTATAAATGCAGAATCGAAGATAATGTCGGAGTATAAAGCTGACCACTGGATATTTAAGATACTCGGCAATGCCAACATTAAGCAGTATGGTTAGAGCCACTGTCAGCGCATTGAATTTGTATGTCTCTCTCGTGAGATGAACACGTCGACCTGGCAATAGGGCCACCAGCCAAAACATAACCACTTGGTAGCCAAAAAAGGCGGATATCACATCCGACTTGAACACCTGACGTGACAAATAGGACCAGTCCAAAAGCACTGTAAGATTTATACGCTTAAAGGCGCAAGCATTGCGAACACCCGCACAGCTCCATATCAGATAATAGACCATGGCAGGGATCAGAATCATCAGCAAACTGACGCCCAACCAACCGCCAAATTCGCGTGGTGCCTCAACTTTGCGGCAGGCATTGGGCTGCGGCGACAGCGATTGTCGTGTCACGTTGAAGCTGCGGAAAGCGCTTTCGCGGGCCTCTTCCTCCTCCTCCTCTTCCACATCCGAGTAGCTGGCCTTGGAAAATTTATCGTCGTCGTAAACGGAGCGAGAAGCAGAACGACTATAGCGGCTGCCTGCATCCTCCGTATTGGTGTTCGGTGTGTGCGTCCGTTCCGTACCAGCCGCATTGGATGTGGTCTTGGACAGCGAGCGACGGAGCCGGTCGGCTAGGCGTTTGCGTATGGAGTCTGTGTTGATTTCTCCACCACCGTCCGAACGAATCTCTATGCGCTCTGTGGTAGTCGATGTGCTGCTATAGGAGCTCTGAACCGATGAGGTTACAAACGATTTGTTTGGTGCACGTGTCGAGGTGTTGGTGGTCAACGTGGTCGGTAAATTATTGGTGGATTGCCGCGGCGATGAGGACTGAAAATTTAAGGTAAAACAATAAGTAAATGCAATCACAATCTTCATTTAGGGTATAGAACTGGATTCCACACAAATAAGAATGTTCTTAACCAACCTCTTTGCCTTCCTTGATGGGTGTGCGTGTCTTTACGTTGGTTGTGACTGACGCTGTATTGGGAAGAGCTGCAGCGGATCGCGGTCTGGAGGAGCGGCGTGTTCGCGGCCCGACATCTTCTGTTATAGTCGCAGTTAATGTCTTGTTGCGTGCTGGCGAGGATCGTGTGCGTGTTGTTGGTCCTGAAGCAGTCGTAGTGGAACCGGCACGTCTTCCAACTGCTGGTGGCTGTGTGGCTGGAGCGGCATCCTCAAGCCGACTCTGCCGTCCTCTTAAGCGTCGCTCCATTTTATTCACGAACTTGTATGCTCAAAATGTTCTGTAATAAATATATATATACATATGTGTTTATATGTAGAGCACATTTATTATGGTAGGTACATATGTATATGTTTTAAGAGCACGCTAAATTTTATTTATAGTTTTCAGCCGCACACATAACACAAGCTGGCCCACAAAAAACGGCGCGTACTGTACCCGGCCGGACATACAATTAACTGCTGGTACTGTTTGAAGCTCTTACTTTGTTTTGAAAATCGCAGAGCACGTGCGTATTTAGTTGTATGATTAAAGTTTGCGATTATTTCGAAATAAACTTTGTTTTACACATTAAAAATTGTGATAATTTTATGGGATGGCGTGTAAGAAAAGGGACGCGCGTCGCGCGGTTTTCGCTTGTCTGCTTGCCGAACTTTGTTGTAAATGAGCGCGGGGAGCGCGTTGCACAAATCGATAAACGATATACATACGATTAGTTCACTCTCATAAATCGTGAACTAGCAAATGGAAGTAAATATTTATACTTTTGTTTTTGTATTGCAGCATATAAATATTAATGTTTTGTTAATAACATGTTACATTTTTTAATTTTATGACTTAAAGAGTACTTATGTGCATGCAAATTAACATATCATGTGCACTCGGCAGCCCTAATTTCGGTGCATTCTTGCATTTCGCGTTTTGGGCTTATTTAGTACGTTCTAGCGCTGCGCTTTTGTGCTGTTTTTCGCACATACATATTAATATAAAATCTGAAAAAATACGAAAATTACTGAACGTTTTCCTGTCAGTCGAAAAAAATGTAAGTAGCAGCACATTCAAAATTCCAAGACGCACCATCACACCCATAGTATTATGTAGTGCAACGAGCTAAATCTCTAGTGAAGAAATTGTTATGAAAACGTCTCTTTCAACGCCTCCCAAACGTCTTGTGCCCATCTCCTACAGCAACGCCTGCTGCTAGAACAGAACTCAGAAGTGCCAGTAAAAGTCAGACAGACGGCCAGTCGATACCCGAAGCCAGTATAATGGTTACACCACAGTCGCCCACACCAATGTTCAATGGGCTGGACGAGGATTTGTACACCGATGCAAAGTTCGCCCATGAAATCAACGACAAGATGCGTGTTCCCAAACGAATTAAGGCCACTGGCGAGTACTCCGATGAAGATCTTCTACTGTCCAATCAAAATGGCATAATTAACTCATGGAACTACCACGACAAAATCGACATGAATGTGCCCGATCGCATTGTGGTGTTGGGCCACAATCAGCATCTGGAGACGCGTTCGGCGCCACGAGAAATTCAACTAGAGAACTCAATTCTCCCCAAGAACCCATCTACGGGATTCGTGCGTGTGCAGACACCGCCACGCGTCATTACACTCACCGACCATCACTTCCCCTCGGCATCTGAAGAGAGCTCTCCCATAAAACCAAATGGTGATCTGTACGGACACGATTTAGACGCAGACGACGATGACGAGGGTCGTGCTACACAATATGTACGGTCCAATGGCACCGTGCGCATGGGCTTTCATGGCAACGATGCCAACTCCGTTGAATCGGACTCACAGGTGAGCATAATAGGAGTTTCCACTTCCAAATTTCACGATCTATGCCGTCGATTTCATGTCCCAATATCAATGCGTAATCTTTTCTGTCTAGCTTTTATCAGTTCATGCAACGAAATATGAACTTCGGTGCCGCGCGATTATTTTGAGACTAACAAAGTATTGTTACTAAATTTGTTTGGCTAGCATTGACACTTTGAGAATAGTTGGGATTAAAGTTAAAATCATTCCATTTGATTTTTGGTTGTATATGTATATTTATTGTTTCTCATCTAAATACCACAATATTCGGTTTTGCACTAGAATTTTGATTGGCATGTCCTGCGGTCGAGATCAAATCTCTCTGACAGCATTTTCTTCTATTCACTGGAGTAGGCGCGTGCTATGGCGCTGGAGCGGTCGTGTTCCTCTTTCAGACTCGATTCGTGGTATTCGTCGCGATCGCGCAATTCCTTTGGCTTCTTTGCAAATGCACGACACTTCCAAATATCCACCTCGGTAGCTAAACACTTGCGGAAGTCAAAGTCGCACTGACCCAGGGTGTATTCATTGTCCTGCGGCTCGAAATAGTGCAATCCTCGTCCTATTTTAATGACCACGCCCGAGCTAAGCACAATCTTGCGATCGTGAAGCGTATCGTCCAATTGAAAGTTCATGTGTATGTTTCCGGTGCCGAGATCGGCGCGTATCTTTTGCAATATGTGTATCTGATTTTGCGGCACTACCGGATCCGGGCGTGTAGTCAGTCGTATATACTTTAGATAGCGGCAGTTCTTCACCAGCACCTCAAAGAAGTTCAGCAAGTTTTTGAAATGATTCTGCTCTGTAAGATGCGGCTCATTCAGATGCGCCTCCTTCACATTGTCATCCAGGTAGGGTCCAAAAAGGCGCTGATAACTGCGCCCCCGTGCGTCCCGCTCAATGCTAATGCGATCCAGCATCTTGCTTGAATGCAGATGTGTCTTCACCTGATCGCGCAACTGTTTGGCTCGCGCCTCATACATCTTTAAATACTTGCCGCAGAGCTGCTTCTTGTTTGGCTCGGCGGTGGCCATCTGATTCAGCTTGTAGATGCTCTCCTCGTACAGCAGAATTGCCTCCATGATGTGGCCGGTCTGTTCACACTTCAGCGCATTGATTATTGACTCCAGCTTTGGCAGCTCGTCATCGTCCGAAAAACGTGCCTGCGACATGTTGCGAAATCTAAAATGTTTGTGTGTACTTGAATTTTCTTCTAATTTGTTGTGAGATTTATAAAAAATTCGAGCATAATTTTTTTTTTTTTTGCTGAACTTAATAAGGCGCTGAAGGCAGAGTAATTGTTGAATTTCGAAGCCTCAACTTTTGAAACAAATTCAAATCGAGATTGTCACAGATATTTATTATTATATTTTCCATAATGGTCTATCAAAACTTTTCAGTAAGTCATAAGTTGCCATTCTACGCCAAATTAATGTCTATATTTTTGTTCCATTTCAGTTAACAACTGGCAGTGCAAGCAAACGTTCCCAACAACAACAACTGCAGCAGCAGCATTATAATAATCTAGACACATCGCTGATCAGCCAGCGTGATGGCACACCCATGGGCGAGCTAACTCCACACGAGGAGATCCTCTATTTGCGCCGGCAACTGGCCAAGCTTAATCGACGCGTCCTTAACATTGAGATCAACAATGAGCAGCGCCTGCAGCGTGAAAAGATTGTCTATTGTCTTGGACTGGCCTATTTTGTACTGAAGGCCATTTTCTGGCTGAATCGCAACTAAACGGGCGAGCGGGCTTCATTTACATGCTTGGAGCACCATCTTAACGATTCTCCGCATTATCTTGGCACACAAATCGCGAGGCCACATCAATAATATCACATTTTCGTTTTGTTCTGTAATTGACTTTGGGGAGCGAGAGGCGCGAAAAGTCTCGTATTTTGTTTGCCATATTTTATTGTAAGCTCCGTAATAAACTGAGCAGCCCTCGTTGTGTTGGTTCGTTTTGGAAACTAAAAATCAATTCAAATCATAAATGCATGCTTTAATAGTAAGGACCCGCCCGAAAAAATCTTTTATATACAATAAGCTTTAAAATTCTTATTTACACCAAGCACGGTACTGAATGAATTTGTTTATATTTATCTAAATGTTGGCCAATAACACACACACACATAGATATATATATATATAGACCGTGATTTGTAAAACTAGTGTGAAGAATCAAAGTTTTGATACTCTCCGATCTGACTCCGATTTCTTGTGTGCTTTTGTTGAAGTTAGTTTTTAGCTATGTACTAAAATACGTTTACATTGTTTACAATAATAATCCCATTGAAAAAATGTCTATAGACCAAATAAAAACTGAAGATCTAACAGTAATTGTATGGCACAAAACATACGATAAATATACAAGTATGTATATTCATATAAATGAATAATTGTAACGCAATGTCTACATTTGAATATTTTAACGGAAGGTGTTAAAATAGGTGTGTTAGTGAACGATTATTGAATTAATCCATTATTGGTTTAATTCATATTTAATTAAATAAATAGTCAAAAACGAAGTTTTCTTTTTTACTCTCTTTATACAAGATTCAAACATGAACTAAAATCATCCAAATAGAAATTGCCATTGTCCCGCATCTTCCTGTTCCAAGTTAAAAGCACGAATTTGGGTAATTTTTTTAAAAAGTAAATCTCAAAGATGTTTCTTGTATAAAATTTATTTTGGGGCGCATTCTTCCTGCTGAGGATTAGGATTAGTTGGAAGAAATAATTGAACAATCCCCTTTTATATACATCCTTACCGACTTTTTTACTCGAATAAACAACGAATTGTGCGTCAATATTGAGTTCCTGGTATTGGAGGCAATTAATGTATATGTAAAGTGCATTTAAAGCTATAATTATATCTTAATAACTACATGGCTAAAATATCCACGGGAAGTAGTATAGCCGATGATTCTCAAAGATAAATCCAATTATAAAATACTGTATAATTTGAATATCATTATTATATACTTTTTAGTGTCTTCTAGGAATCTCGTACAAAAGGTTTTCAATAGCGCTCAATATATGTACATAAGTACTGTGGAGCAGCTAAACAATATTGATCACCCCAAATGATGAACATGATTTTTAATAACGTTTCTATGGCGGCAGCATTATTCATTTGTTTATTTTTTTGTTAACCAACACGCTTGTTTTAACTCTTACGTATCTCCAAAGATTTTAAAGTCCGTTTTATAATTTAAATCCTAATTAATGTACGAGAGAAGTCCGAAATGTTTAGGTTTAAAATTGTTTATTTGTAAACATCGTCTTCTAAACTAATTGACTTCTCCCAGCGATTTTATCACCCATTCAACATCTCCAAAAAGTATTTGCCGCCCTCCTCCTCAAAAGGTAAACATTTGATGAACATTTCTTCCGCCCAAGCACAACTTTGCGGAATAGCCTTCGTCATTGATTTTTGTCTCTCCAGATAATCAGTATATGGGAGTATGCCTTAATTTTGGGATTTTTTTCACTGTTTTGATACATAATGGTATATTCATGTTTTATTCAGCCTGTCGTCCAGAACCTTTTGTTGACGTTTTTGTATGTCCTTGACCTCTCAGATGTTCTAGGCTCGTACGTCCACGTTGCCCAAGGACTTGAAAGCTGCAAATGAGTGAGCATTATCCCCATAGAAAGAATAAACCTTTTGATTTGTGTAGGCGTAGTCAATAAGCAAAATTTATCTACATTTTATTAATTTGTCTGCAGTAGACGCACTATGTGACTCGAATGCAGCCTCTGCCAGGAATGTAAAGTAAATTATGCCTTTCATAATCCTAAAAACAAATGTGGAGACAACATTAACGCATTTAAAAAATGTTTTATTTGTTCTTTAAATACACTTTATATCGCTTTCAATTATTTAATGTGAATATTTATTAAGTCTACCGATCAAATGCAACACATCTTTTCCTAACTGGGTAACAAGATGTGTTCAATGGAAACTAAATACATACAATACGTACGAAAAACCTGAGCAAATTTTCGGTTTACCTCGAAAAAGCCGACTTTCAGCTTCTCTTATTTATTTGTACTACAAACTGTGTGTTGCAGGACACGTTTTAAGTAGTGCGTGTGTGTGTTTTACAATTGAGTATCAATCGCCATTGCGTACATATAGCTCGGCATCCTAGTTCTTTTTTTTATGATTTCGTATTGTTGCACCAAAGGAGGAATCATCATATTTACTTGTAACCGGTGTCAACTTTATCGTTTAGAACAAATGAATTTCGTGTATGTTTATTTTTATTTTAATGGAATTACTTTATGTTTTACTTTACAAATTTTATGCAAGTTCAATTTTCTCGTTTCGGTTATGCTTACACTACGGCGACGGGAAGGGTGTTTCCGTGTCACCGTAAAACAATCTTGTAACTTTTTCCTTGTCTCGACTTACAAATGTGTTTCGTTCTTTTTTTTCGTTTGTGTGAACTTAAAAAAGAAACGACTACTATAAACTTAAATACTTATATTTAAATACAATTTATTTTTGTTTTTTGTTTTGTGTGGAGGTGATTTTGCTGAAGGCGGCAGTTGAAGCTGGCCCACGCTAATGCAATTTTCGATCGGATCTTTGTTGTTGTATAATGATTTTTGTAGACTATTTGATGGGGGGTAGGATGATCGGGTGGGCGTTTAGTTTGGAGTAGAGAAATACATCTGACGACGATTGACAGGTCCACTGTTGTAAATTTACTCGCTCTCGTCCTCCTCATCATCATCAGACTCATCCTTCTTGCTCTTTTTCGATGGTTTTTTCGCTGGCTTTGCGCGCTTCTTGGCACCACCACCGTTGGCTGCATTGCTGCCACCATTCGCCTCAAACTCTTTCACGGCACGATCGTAATCATCCTTGGCCTTGGCTGCCTTTGCCTCCCACTCCTGTAAAAACGGTTATAAAATAAAGAGAAAATTAGTGATCAATTAAAAAATAAAGTGTTTCTTTTGCAGAATACGTACAGACTTGTCCTTCATTCCGCGCCAGAGTTCACCACCGCGCTTCGCCACCTCAGTAACTTTGATGCCGGGATTCTCCCGCTTGATCGACTCGCGTGCGCTGTTCAGCCATAGCATGTATGCGGATAGTGGGCGTTTTGGTTTGTCGGCCATATTAGATTTGTGTTTTGTACGTAGTAATGTTACTAAGAAAATTAGCTAAAATACAAGCTTCAAGCTGCAACGAAACAAAAGAAAGGAAGCATAAATAATTTGAATCAACTGGGACGTATTTCGATTGGAAGCCTGCAAGCGCAATGTTCTTAAATGCAGCTGCAGCCGCCAGCCAAGCCAAGCATCGAGCCGCGCGCTCAGCAGACAGCAATGGCCGCGCACCACCAAACGAGATGGCTATAGAAGCACGCTACACAGACACACACACACATTCACACACGATGTGCGGCGATTTGTAAAGCTGAAAAGAAAAGCGCGCGCGCGCACATTGAATGCGAAAACTCGCGCCGTTATCGACTATTAATATGAAGAAAAATTATTACAGGCTGCAGCAACAAATGCAAAATAGTTAAACTAAAATTACATGAAAAATCAAAATTTTTCGAGCAGCCATTTTTTTTTCTTCGTTGCCTTCAAAGCGACCGAAATGGCAACACTTTTTTCTGTATGCGTCGTTGGTACAGCAGCGTACAGCCATTTGGCGAAAAAATATAATTTGATGGGCACGCGTAGAAGAAATACATATTAAATAAAAAAAAAAGCCTCAACTATTATTGAAAATTTCGAACGTAAATGGTTGAAAATATTCAGCTAGCTCTATACACCAAAACGTTTTAATTTCGTTAAAGAAAAACGAACACCGTTATGCACGAATTTAGGTCGAACACTATCTTTTAAATTATGAATAAAATGCGAGACATTAAATCAACACTTTCAAAAAGATACAAAAGTTACATTGATTTCTCAGGCTACTACTGTACACACTTTGTAATTATATTATTATTTTTTTTTTGCACACAATTTTAAGTTAAAGCAGCAGCAGCAGCAGTACTCGATGCGTTCACCAACCTTTTTCGTTTGTTCGACGATTTCAACTGTACGGACTTAGCGTCGCTACCACAGAGGAAAGGTAACGAACGCATATGCTGCCGCTGCTGCAGTCGACGACGACGTCGGCAGCATTTCATGCGACAGATGTGGACTGTTTATATGTGTGCGTTGTGCTTCCTTCGCACACACCACCAATTGCACTTATGAGAGTTTGGCTCTCTCTTAAAGTAAATGCTAGCCGGCAAATTAATCGGCAAATGAAATTAAAAGAGACTCGACGATAAATGGCGAGTAAAAACAAATATGCCGTAAATAAACGTCAAATGGAAATGTAAATAGAAAAACTACAACAAAACGCATTCGCAACATAAACACAATCAGTTTAAAATATGATCACAAACGATTACTTATGTATATGCGCTCCTTATATACCGTTGGTATTTATATACATATATATGTAGATATGTACAGAATTTAAGAAAATTGAAGTGCACTCAATTCTCTTGGACCGAGATGGATGTAGAGAGCAAGACATGACTCACATAAAAAACGGCTAGACAGTAAAAAAAAAACTTGCATGTTTTATTGGGAAAAAATACAAATTTAATATCTTGCAACTTGGTTAGCAATTCACAACAAAAAATACACGTTTTCTCTTGCCTTCAACCGTTTGGTACAGCACCGTCAATGCAAAAAAAAGATTCAAATGTTTGTAAATTTTAAATAGGCTAACACGTTTGCGAAAAAACAATATTTAGCAATGTTATAGTTCTTGGACACTTATTTCACGATTATTGACGCTTTAAAACCAACCTTTTTCGTTTGCTGCTGAATTTCGACTGTACGGAGCTTGGCGTCTGTTCCACAAACATAAAGCAAGGGAGAAAAAAAAACACACACATGGAAGACACGCTGTCGTGAGACGTTGCTGCGCCACCGAAAAGGAACAACGGTGGGTGAGAAAGAGACTTGTATTTACTCATCTATTAACTCTCTCTCTGGTTGACAAAGCCAAATGGCAGCCGGTTCTGCATGTGCTCTTTGGCATCACAGATAAAAGATAAATCGACGAATCTAGGTCGAAAGGGAAACAACGCTAAATACCATGTAAAAACAAATAAAACATTGAAATGTAAATGTTTTTTTGAAGCAGAAATGGCACATAAACGAATAACGTAGAAATTAATGCGAACGTAGAAAGAAAAAATTTGCTTGGCTTATTCAATTTAAGGAAATACACGAATTCCGCTCACACAAAAGTAACCATCTAGGAGCCCGCGTCCCCCCACACATATATATTTACACAAAACAAACATCATGAAAAATGGCGCCAAAATTGAACCTCAATCGCAACAATATAAAATAAATTTAAATATTAATGTGAAGTTGATCGCTTTGTTGTAATTTCAATATGAGCTTATATAATAATTTTTAAGTTGGAAATCTAGACAATGAATTTCTTTATTTCTTGTTTTTTTTTTTTTTTTTTTTTTTTTTTGTGTTTTACAAGATTTGTACTGTACTAGAGGATGCTCTTGGATGAATGGATTATACCATCATTGCAAATAGTGAATGTAAGTCACTTAGAAGGGAAATTTTCAATAATATAAAATTGCTTGAACATCAAACCATTCATGTATACTTATTATAAAATGTTAAACTTTTCTATGGAAAAGATAAAATTTAATCGAGCGGATAACACATTTTTGATAGGCGCAAAATAGAAAAGGTAGCCCATGTACGCTTGCTTTCACTCACATTAAATACTTGAAATATAAATGATGGCAAAATCAACGATCGATGCACAAATTAACTATGTATCAATACTTTTTAATGAACTTATTCAATGTTTCTTGTTGCACGCACCTCTTGCTTGACTTTTCTTAACTGTTCTCGGATTTAATATTGCATATTCTTTGTATCGATACATTTGTCCCGAATCATTTACATAAAAGAACTTGTTCACATGAGCACGCGTGCTGTGACGGCCAGCTTTTTGCCAAGGGTGAATGAGTGACCGCCTTTAGGGATCCGATTCAAAATTGTATGGTATGTGCACGTAAGTACATATGTTTAAAAGAACTATCTATTTTGTATAGGTTCTATCGCAAAAACAAAATGAACAATAGAAACAGGCACATTTGTCTTGTTAGCCGAAAAACTCAAATATTCGCCAATATTCTTTTATTAACTTCGTATTTAATTCCTGTATACAATCAAAAACAGCTGCAATGATGAAAAGCGTCAATGAAGGAAACAAGGGAAGGCGGCAAAAGATGATATTGTAACGGTTGTGCTAAGTCTACAGGCATGTGTGCATTTGATTCTAGCGTATTTTTCCCGCCACAAATTCATAAAGGAGCGTAAAAAAACAGTAAGCCATTACGAAGCCCAAAGGAAACTGGGTGCTAAAATCAGCGTTGCAGAGTGTTTTGTGTGCGAACAAATTGAATCGCGCGACACACGCAGATGCAGATGCATACATACATGTACGTATGTATGTATGTATGTACGCACCCCGCCACTACCCCGTTGAAGACGTTTTGTTACATACAGATCTCGTTATACTTTCCGAGCTAGAATAACCAAACTTGGTAGGTAGATTCTCCAAAGCCCGAGAAAGGACATGTTCGTTCCCCCACTCCTCCGCTTTTAGTGATTTTCTCTAACTCCCGTAATTCTATGAATTTGAACTCAAATTTGGCAGGTACATTGCGTTAGTGCTTGTAGCTGTTGTTGTTGTTGCTGCTTTGGCTCAACTCTGTACTGCACAAATGCATGCACACAAACACATACATACATATGTATGTATAGACACTCATAGATACAATAATAAGGGAAATGTATTGAAACTGTACGACCCTATGTACGTGTTATGTACATATATTTCAATTATATTAATTTTATTTAGTTTGATTTAAAAAAGGAATTACTAAAAAATTAAAAAAAAAAAAAATTTTTTTTGGAGTGCGTCAATTCTTTAAGCAAACTAGATTTTTTAGTAATGAGTTTTTATAAATATTTATTTAAGTTTTTTTTCGAATTTTTGCAAATTAAAAACCATATGAGTCATATGCAGATTTACAATTATTTAAATTTATCTATGTGCTTTTTGTTAACATTGAAGGGCACCATATTGTTTACAAATGTATGTACATACAATACATATGTATATAAATTTAAGAAAATAAACGTAATTAAAAATAAAACATATTGGTGGGCTAGAAGGAGGTACTTTCGGTAATCGACATCGAATAAAGTATGAAGGTTCATTTGCACTGGCAACAATTTCATATTTTACTTTGCATAAACCAAACGAATCTACAAAAACCCAAGACAAAATTTCACATTAACATCTCTTCATTTTTTACACTGAATGTACAGTGAAAACTCCCTTAATGAACACCTCTTTTATCTGGACAGTCTCTTCGGCGGACACTTTTTCTAAGAAAAATTCGATGGGTGTATTTAAGCGGACAACAATTGGCCGACCGTGAGTGTCCGGCCAAGAGAGTTTTCACTGTACATATAGTATGTATTTACACATAGTATATATGTACTTATAGTATGCATGTACATAACATACATACACCCATACATATGCTAATATTTAGGTAGGGTGTGAAATTGTAGTTGTAGCAGCGCAGTTGACGTAGCGCCAACAGCGGCAGCTCAGCTGGCGACGACAGACTTTCGTTAACTTTTCGGTCCATTTATTTGCCCTCCGTCGCGAGGGCTGTTCGTTCGAGCGTCTTCAGATCACTCGTTGCGTAGGCAAGTCGAGCATTTTATAAGTACATATGTACATACATACCGAATAATTTGCTTTCGTTCGGATCTTTTTGCTTTGCTTTTTCCCATTCCACTGAATGAATTATTTGATTGGAAGCGCTTTACACAATGTAGGCTGCGAAAAAAATCTATATACTTATTTAAAATACCTATGTATTTGTTTTAATTGAAATCACTCATTCACAAGTAAATTGCTTGAAAAATTGAAGAATTTGTGTGCGGATTATTTGCCACCATGACCATAGATTTTAAGTTGCAAATTTTTTAGTTTACTGAAATTTAAGTTTTATACGCTGTACAGGAGTATCCTAATTAATTGTGAATGTATGTAACACTCAGAAGGACGCCTCACAAAGTATATTATTGATTAGGATGACAAGACAAGCCGATATAGCGATGTCCGTCTGTTTATATGAACTCAAGGATATCAGAAAATATAAAAGCTAAAATAACCATTCTTGGTATCCGGGGGACTCTGACCGAGGGGACTCTTAAGACCGAGAAGGACGAGTTTGAGATTTTTCTGATGTACTTCCATCTCCCTCCCTATAAATTGTTTGTAACATCCGTATATTTTGAAGTTTTTTACCAACATTTGACAATCAAATCCAGTTAGTGCTTTCCTGCCCTCATGTTAAGTTTTAATAAAATAGGACCATTTTAAACGAAACTATTACCATACATGTAATCTTTGCCTAATCACATTTTTAATTCGTTTTTAAATTTATTTTTTTTATTTATTGTTTGGAATGCTTGATAAAGTACAAAGGTTTTGTGAAAACTTTTAACTTTCCTTGTTACATGTGATAGGTCTATTCCAAATTCTGTGTGACACAAATGTTTATAAGCTTAAAGGCGTTCCCGAGGAAATATAGACCCGGTTATGAAATATGTTACAATGTTCAGAATTTGAAAAACACTTCTTTGAAAGTCCCGGGATCGAAGGAATCCACCCTTCTCCTCCTTATCTCGATGGAACTGCATATAGAAATATATAGAAATTTGTTTATACATACATTTGTCTGCTGTTAAGGTATTTCAAATACATAATCTTATAAAATTTGTAACTTTACAGCTTAAACTAAAAGAATATAAGCGGATGCTGCACTTTCGCTTTTTCTACTTGTTTTCAATTCCAATGCCATCACACCCATCTAAGCAGACCTTCGACTTTGAATAATTTCCTGCACTTTTGATTGAATTCCAACCCACTACTACTTAACAACAACATCCTTCGTCTTGACAGTTCCGGTTGCTGCGTAGATTCGATTCCACAGACAACGTCAGAGGGTGCTGTTCAATGCTTGTTGGTATAGTTGGTATTTCAAGCAATACACTATATTATGGGCAACATACATACTTGTACATGCATACAAGTATATAAATATATAGTGTTTTGATGCATCAGGTCATTCATATTTTGTGGGTATCGGCTGTTGATGTTCTGTCTACCTTTTGTATATTTTGTAGTAATAATAATTTCCTATATACAAGTACATACATAGGTCTACACATACGCTCTTCGTGTGATGTCACAAAATCATCGCACATATAGTGGGTGTTGTACACAATATTGAACTAATTGAGTAAGTACAATTTTTATGGAAATACCGTCATTATTATCCATATCTACAATATTGCTCACTAGCTAAAAATTGATCGTCTGCTTAGTCACGCGTAACTGCGCTCCTTTTTCTGACGTAACTGCAAGAGAGAGAGAGAGAATGAGGGAGTGAGTAAAAAAATTGCAGCATTTTATTTTTTTATACTCTGTACCCGTAGGGTAAAAAGGGTATATTAGACTTGTGCCAAGTATGTAACAGGCAGAAGGAAGCATCTCCGACCCCATTAAGCATATACATATATTCTGAATCAGCATGACGAAAGAAATCGATCTAGACATGCCCGTCTGTCTGTCCGCCCGTCTGGATGAACGCCTGGATTTCGGAATTGGATCGTTATATTCCAAGAAAACATTTCACTCTAGTACTACGCCCACAAGCTGCAGCATCAGATTCGATCTTCTTCTTCTACTTTTTGCTTCTACTACAGAAGTCTGTCTGGCCACCGGGTATTTCACTGTCGGGCTTTCTCGACTCTAGCGTTCTCTCTTGTTTATATACATTTTTACTCCACTTGGGAGCTTAGGGCTTCTACAAGAACTTTTCCATCTGACTCTCTATTTCAAGCCATCTGTCTAGCTGTTTCCCATGTGGTTTTCTTCTGGGATAGTGTTCCTGAAAGTTGGTCCGCCGCCAGGTTTTCGTCTGCCGACCCACCTGCTTCCTTTGGGATTCCTCCTGTCTAGCGCCATCATGTAGTTCTCAGTCGACCTGGCGATTGTGGCCAGATGCGACTTATCCCAATATGGCGAGGCTGCCACCAGTCGCCGCCGGGGGAGAGGCGTCTTAGGGGGTCTAAGTTACTATTGCGTTGTCCAGATAGTGAGGATGTATGTGTTTTTTTTTGTGGTTGAAGGGAAACACAAACAGAGTTTTTCGAGAGGAGAAATAACAATTACAATTTAGGAGAGTTTTCGAGAGTATAAATAATAATTAGAATTCGGGTCATGCTCTAGCCATGAGTGGGGCTCGAACCCACGACCTCTTGTTTGCTTATCTACATTACTGTTTATCATGATCATTACGTCTCTAAATTGGTTACTAGTTAATACTTTTATATTTAAGCGTATTCAATATTTTGCATCTTATATATTCGGCACCTATTAGTGATAGTTCAGTTGGAAGCTGTCGCTTAGCTAGATATGTATGTATTTTATTAATGGTTGAAAGAAGGTGAACAGTTTTATCTTTAACTAAAAAAGAAGAAAGCATAACAATGTATAAGTAGAATTTGGCAACTGCTAATCAATTGTAGCCTATCGTGTTGAAGAACGGTATGGCTATATATTACACCAAAAACTATCCCGTAACTCCAACGCGGGTTGAAGAATGGTGTGGCTATATAGTACACCAAAAATTACCCCCTAGCTCCAAAGTGGCGGCCCCATAAAGTGCTGACCAGGGCTGATTCTGTTGAATCAAGCCAAGTACAGTAATTACAGTAAATTTCGCCGTTGAAATACGTAGAAGCTTAAATATTTGTAAGGGTTTACGGAGAGGCGAGTTATGGTAAAAAGAGTGCGATGAAATCACCAAGTCAGCCCCTGACGCTTGGTACTACTGGAAAACATACAAGTATGTACACGTATGTGCAATATAAGCACATTTTTCACTTTATCCGGCATCACCCGATCAATTGTAAAAGCATTAAGCAGTAAAACTAAACGAAAAGCAAAGCGCAAAGAAGAGCGAACCGATCACTCTTTGCTAAGCCGAGCGAACGTTTGCATTAAAGCAGCTTTCGTTTGCTCGCTCGCCAGAGCAAGATAGCAAAAGCAAATGTGAGACGCAAAATAGTTAGTTCTCTGGGGACTTGCCGAGCGAGTGGACGTTGATTACACTTGCTTGTTGCCTATTACTTTACCTTTCTGCTGGTATCGGAAGAATTGCATTTCATTTCGTCATCATGAGCGAGGGAGCACTGCCGTTTCGTTTTACAGACGAGAAGACGTTGAAGTTTGTTGAAGAATATCGGAGGGCCGAATGTCTATGGAATCGGACACGGGCGCGCAAAGAAGAGCGCGAACAGGCATATGATCGGTTGAGAAGGGCAATGGATAACGAAAGAACGGTTGGGGAAGAACCATTGACATTAAAGGGAGTTAAAGTGAAAATAAAGAATTTGCGCACATACTATCATCAGGAGTTAAAGAGAATGAAGTCTGATCTAGGCTACACACCTAGGAGTATTTGCTTTAAACCATTACACTCGTTCTTGGCTAAATATTTACACCAAAGCAAGTTTAAGACGGTTGGGGATTCAGCTGGAGATGTAAGATATCCAAATTTGCATAATTCCAACATTTAATTTACCAATATTACTCATATATCATATGCAGGTTTCCGAAGATGATGCTACGCATATACCTTTGTCAACCATAAAGCGTTGTAAAATAAAGCTTACCAGATTAAAAACAATAAAGTTGCTACCTTTGAAGGATGAAGGAGATTGTATAGAGGTAGTGGAGCCCCAAGTTGAGAAAATAAAAAGCGAACCATCGGCGGAGCAACAGCTTTTGGTCAAGGTTGGCTCTTCTCCTCACGCCGAGGCCCCACCACTTAGGCTGTTGACACCGCCAACATCCGCACCGCTTCCCCTGCCTCCTCCTCTAAACTATCGCGCTGAGCAATTACCTCACATTACTGAAATTACTACGCTACATCAGCCTCTCAAGAATATAAATAATTCATCTACCATCGAACGCAATCCGATGCAACCACTTCAAAACGAGGATGAATTCCACTTTTTTGGACTAAGCGTTGCGGCCCAGCTACGGAGCATGCCACTTTCCAATGCCATGCTGATGCAGGCCAATATTCAGAATTTATTATCTACAGAGCGGCGCAAGATTAACGGGAATATCGGAACATAAAGGAAATAATATTTATAAAGTATATCTATACTTTCCATGTGATACACCTGTTATGGGTCAGCTTTTTATTGCCTTTGAGAAACATTTGTTTGCGTTTAAACAGAATTCATACTCAAACCATGGGACCATGGGACCCACAAACTATAGCATCAAGATCAAGCCGAAAGTTTGGCTGGTACAGGATATTTCACTGGCGGGCTTGCTCGCCTGTAGCGTTCTCTCTTATTCTTACTTGTAAATGAATCAAATTTAAAATTAACAAATCTAATACCTATGGACAGTATTATTGCTATAATTTTATAAAAAAGTTATATTAACTCTAAAAATACTCTTAGCCGACGTTAGCATGTCACTACTTTTAATATTTTTGCGTCATACGAAAAATTTCGAAATAAATTCTACAAAGCATAAATATGTACATATGTGTATAAAGATAGAAAAATGTCCATATCTACCTACAAATATACATTACATATAGTATTTAAAATATCTAGAAATGAGCTTTAAATGTTATATCACAAAATTAAAATTTCTATATAATAAGATCTGTTTGTTTTTTATGCGAAAAATTAACTATCTGAAATGATCCATCATGTAAAATGGACTGTTTTACTAACAGGTATTGTTTTAAAAAATATTTAATAGCTGTTGTATTAGATCTCAGAAAGGTTTGTGCGAAAATTTGTTGGTGATTTTTTGTTGAATGAGTAACTCTTCAGATACTATTTAAGAAAGTAAAGACGCTTTTAAAATAGCAGAGTCCGAAAAACGAGACAACTAAAGATGTAATTACATATGTATGTACATGGGTAGTACCATTTGCGTTTTATTTAGATTGTAGCGTGAGACACGCCGAATTATGTATTCTGGTATTACACAGGGCGGACAGAACCTAGGGCAGGATTTCTACCAAAGAATTCTCAAAGCGAAGGGGCGAAAAAGCAAAGCAAAATGGTATAAAAAGGCTACACGAAAGCTAACTGTACTATGCTTGTTAAATGCTTGCCGTGCCTACGCAAGCAACAAACGGAAAGTGGCCGAACGAACAGACGAGGCAATGGAGGGCAAACAAACGACAAGTTAACGACTGCCTGTCGACGCCAGCTTCGCTGTCGCTGTTAGCGCAGCGTCAACGTCTCGGCTACTGCGCCACTTTCAATCATACATATGCACATACACATGTATGTACATTCATATAAAATGAAGCGAATGTCGAAGCTAGAGAACGCCTTGTGAGCGTGCGTTTGTTGCTATGTAGTTTCGTTAAGTTTTAGGAAAATAAAATGCAGACAATGTGCTCAAGCATATGCACATACTTACATACATACATATCTACTGATTTTGGAATTAATAATTTGCACAATTTAAGAGATTGCTTTGAAAATGTACAAAACCGACTTCTGTACACCCTGTTCACGTGATTATGTATGTGTATGAACGTATGTATGTATGTATGTACATAAGTTGTGAGAGAGAAGTCGCATGCTTATGTTGAAACCGGACGACAAGCGAACTGCTGATTCGCTATATTGTAAGCGCTGTTGTTGTTTGTTGGCTTATCGCTTCTGCTTTTTGCACGCCGTGGCCCCCACCAATTAGTCTATTATTGTTCGTTGTTATATATATATGTATGTATATATTTTTTAATGGACCCGTCCAAGGGCGTAGGCAGCTTTTACCAAAGGGGGGGTGCCAAAAGATTAACATTTTGATTAAATAATGCACGATGCATTTAAAAAATAACTTATGCATATGATCAATAAAAAAACTTCAACAAATCCAACTCAGATATGTACATTTTAAGGCGAAATAGTGCGTCATAATAATGAACGTGTGGTCGACCACTTAATTTAGAAGTGCTGTCACATGTTTCTGTTTCGATAGTTTGCTAGTGCTATGTCTGGATCTCGGGAAGGCTAAATCAAAATAGATCAGACTTGGTATGTGGATACTCTAGAGTCTAGACAAACCTCTGTTTTAATCGGGATTCGTAAAAAGCATCTCATTGAACGTTCCTAATACGGGCAGCAGCCACACGTTCGTTTGCAGCAGGCAGGCAGACAAGTAAGAAACATCTTATTTCATCATAAGAGCTTTAGTACATTTCTGAAATAGCTTTATTAATTTGAGTGATCATGTCATTCTATTAAATCAAATAACTATTGTAAGGTCCATTAATTAAATATCCACCTGACTCGATCATGATTTTATTTTTTTCAATTTATTTATGTTGTGCATCCAATGTGGACAGTTATGCAAATATGTGGCCGTATTTATGCTGCAAGCGCGCACATAAAATTAGGTCACACATATACGTACATATGTATGTATGTGCGCCAGTATGTAGTCCACACGGCCCCATAGTGGTCCTGTTGTTTCAATCGCGCTTCAACATCACCATCGCCATCGCCAATGCCACCAACACTGCCACCGCCACCGCCACCGCCGCCGCCACCATTCGCACAACAATAGGCGACAGCCTCATGAAATGTATTCAAGATACTGAACTTGGCCTTTGAAAAGACATTGGGACTAAGGGGGCTTGTCGTTAACCGGCCGGCAGAGACCGGCCCCGACGGCAGCCGACTCGTGCAGTTTGTGGTATCAGTGTGACTATCAGCTGTTCGTGCAAAACCAAACGCCAATGCAGCGGTGTCGGAAGCACCAAAACCCGGCATATGTGGGGGTACAGGTTAACATTTTCAACCTGTATGTTGATTGCTTCTGCCTTCTCCCATTTGCTAATAGTACATGCTGTGGATTATGGAATTGCTTATCAGATGAAGCATGATGATACATATTAAGCCGTAAGAATATAATCGAAGAAGATATATTGTTTGTAGTAGCTCGTTTAAAATTCGTACTAACATAATTCTCATCCTAGGTTGACGTGTTTCTATTTCTTAGCAAGGGACCAAAAATAAAGATACCTTGTTTGGAAAGAGCGACGTTAGCTGGGAAGAAAACAGCTATTGGGTCTTAAATGGATAGTGATCGCGAGATTTGTAATGTTGCTACACTGTTTTTTTATTACTGGGTCATCTAATTGTATCGCTAAGTTTGATTGTAATATAAGGTACCGATTATTGGCTATAAATAACCATAAGTGTTATATTTGTCTAACAACTAATATTAAGGTTTAATCGATCGCTTGAAACGGGCAAGCCATAGATAACTTTTATGAAATATTATAGGATGTAAGCGAGAAGTCAATAGCTCCAAGTATTTACCGAACGGTGCGTCAGCAAGGCAGTGCAAAAATTCAGCTCGGCAAGTAAGTGCAGAAAGAAAGAGCCCATGCTCCCTACACGACGATTTAATTTCGTTTTAGTAACGTTATACAGTAGTGTTTTATATTAGAAATATATTTTAAAATTCCAATCCGATCCAGTTAAGAATTAAATCCAAGTTAGTTTAAAATAAATATTAATATCAATATTAATTAATAATTATACTTATACTGAAAATATCAGGTTTTGGAAAAACATCGTCACTAATATGAAAAATAACTATAGTAAATAATCGAAAAATTTATCTTCGTAATGGGAAATAAGTATAGTATTGGTAAAAATAAGGAAAAAAGTAAAGAAACGTCATACAAAGAAGGTTAAAAATGTAAATGTTATTTACAATAAAAAAAACCTATTATTAATATTATAATATGTATATAAAATGCAATTGTCCCTAATATCGAATAAATAAATCATCAATCAACAAAAAGTTGAACAAATATAAGAAAAATAATAAAAAAAACAATTTTAAATCGAATTTGATTTACTTCAGTTTTTCTAAGTGTACAAGTACTTAATACTTAATCTTTGTTGTATGCCTTCTGAATTGGTGTTACAAAGATTTTCACAAAATGATCACACTTGACTATTTTCATATGCAATATGGTTCATTCGAAAATGACGTTTACAAAAAAAAAAAAGACAAAATAACTATTAGACTAACACATGTATTCTATCCATATGGTTAGCATATTGGCAATACGGTGGAAAAGAAGACGCCAGCCAACGAACTGCAGAAAAAACAAGTGCCTGAATGATTCGGATGGTTGTCTGGCAGCCTGGCTGGCTGCCTGCTTGTCAGCCATCCTGCTGTGCCGAACTGTATTTAGGTGTGTGCCTCACCGCCGTTTGTGAAAACTGCAACACTCACTCAACGAGTCATCCAGTTCCACAAAGGAACCAACTACATCCATATGAACATGCATACATATATGCAGACATGAATGTCCAACTATGAACGAGCGAACGAAGGAAAATGCAGCTAAGCTGGCAACTGTGCCGTCGCCATTTTAGTCTGTTCCTGTTCCTGTCCTGGAGAGGAGGAAGAGGTAGGAATAGTGCCACTGATTCTTACCACCCCGTCGTCGTTGGTAATTGAGGATACAAGTATACACTTTCCACACAAACTGTGGCATTTTTCAACTATACAATGCAATTTTTACCTTTAGTATATACTATATATAGTATATTGCAATTATTAAGTTGAAAATGTAGTGATTTTCAATTTTATGTTGAAACTTTTTAACGACATTTAATACATACTCATATGTACATATGTATAGTAGTGTGAGAAACATATTTCTATAAGTAATTATTTCTGGTCCATAAATCTTTGTAGATGGACGTGCAGATTTTAAGTGCAACTTTATTCGAAAAGTTCTAACGATTCTAAATCGTTTTGAATTTAAAATATAAAGTCCATAATTTTCTGCTTTTCGGGAGATATTTTTTATCTCTGCATAAAGATTGTAGTTTTTTGGAATTTCAGATTTCTGATTTTAAAATATATTTTTCGGCCTTTTTGGAGAGCATATGCTCTTCAATATGCTGAATGGCTGTGTATGTATGTATGTTTGTATATACATGTATGTATGTATGTAAGTGTAATGCATTGTATAAAGTGCCTACCAGCTTGCACTCTGTTTCTATGCTACCATACATGCTCATACACAAACATAATGACTGACGACAAACATGCCTACATTCGTACATACATAGATAAAAGTACATACATACAAGTACATACGGACGCACACTCAAATCCACATCCTGTCGAGTACGGCGCGAACGCATCCCATTCGCTCCTTCGTCAGTTCGTTCGCTCACTGCCTCTGTCTCTGCCACAGCCTGGTTTGCATACACACTCGCATTCGCATTCGCAGTCGCAGTCGGGTACGCAACGCAGAGCTCGCTCGACAATTGCCACCACCAACACAGCCCATGCACACTATCGTCCACATCTCGATTCTATCTGCGCAAAAGACGTCTCCTTTTCGCCCATTATCCACCCAGCTATGCAACACATCTAAAAATTTCGCTTTTCAACTTA